GTCTTCAGGGGCTTCTCACAGGCTGCGGGAAGAAGCGCATTGTGAATTGTCGCCCCTTCTGCTCCCCTAACTCAGGGCCATGCCCTCCCCCCGTGCCCCCAGGGCACCTGCTGTCTCTGGGCTGGGGTCCCTCAGGCCCCCGGAAGCCCGGCACCCTTGCCGCCCCTGCCCCAAGCCTCGCTGCACCCCAGCCGCCCGCCAGCAGCAGCACGGCCTCTGCCCACGGGCCTCTGCCCACGGGCTGCACTGTTCTCCCTGGCTTTCGGTCTCTTCCTCCGGGAAGTCTTCCCTGTGGTCTGTGACGGGTCAGGTCTGCTTTTGCCGCCACTTAAAGGCAAGTCCTCCAGTCCCGGATGGCCCGCTGAGCTTCTCCAGGGCCCAGCTCATAGTAGATGCTCAATTAACATTGTTCATGGAGAAGAGCTCGGGGCCTGGGCGCTGTCCCTGGGCTTTATTGCGCAAGTCTAGTGCTCTACTTGAGCCCCAGCTCCACTTTTGGCTTTTTGGCGGTTAACTGGAGATAAGAGTCTCCCCGACTGTCCTAAAGCCCAAGGCTGGCTTTGAACTGGGGTTCTCAGATCTCAGTCTCCTGAGTAGTTGGGATTACAGGCGTGAGCCACCTGTCCTGCTCCTGGGGGTCTTGTCCTGGGCCTGCGGCTGGGGGGGGCCGTGGGGGGGCAGGGGGAGGGGAGACGGAGCATCAGCTTCTGGATCCCCACTCCTGAAGCTCCCGGGTCCCCCAGTGCGTGTCTGGGCGGCTCGGGCTGGGGCAGCCTGAGGTCCCCAGGGCTTCCAGCTTCACCGAGGCCAGGATGAGCTCAGGGAGGTTCGCAGTAAGTTCCAACACCCTCCCCCAGAAAAGGGGGGGACAGAGGGCACCGTGGGGAGGGAACTGTGGGTGGAAGGAAGCCAAGGGTGAGTTGGGGGCAGCCGTGGGGGAGAGGGGACCATAATTACTGCCTGGCCAGGAGACGGGCTGGAGGGGGTGTCTCTGGTCTTCCCACTTCCTGGGGTGTCCTGGGACCCCTGGGGAGGGAGTTGAGAGGTGAGAGGGCTCAGAGGTGGCTGGCGGCTCCCTTCGTCCCCCCCTGGGCCCCCACAGACCTGGGGGGTGCAGGGCCACTGGTCCCCACCGGCCCCAGCCAGCCGCTGCCGGCTGCGTGGCCCCGCCCCTCCTGTCTGCGCCCAGGGCTCAGTGGCGTTAGCAAAGGTCCTGGGGCCGCTGAGGTTAGTGGTGGAGAGCTGAGGGGGATGGGATGGCTCTAGGTGTCCCCTTCTCTGGTCTCCTTAGAGCAGGGGAAGGGGGGGACAGTGGCCAGGGACCCCCACTGTCTCCAGCAGTGGCGCCCTCTCCCCCTCACACCAGGTGCCGTCTCCAGAGGCTGTGGGCGCAGCGGGAGCCGGCTGTGTTGGCCCCACCTTACAGAGTTGTTTTGTGTAGGACTGGGGGGGGGCTGCCCTGCCCCCCCCCCCGGGGACCCCTAGCTGGGAAGGGCTGCAGTGATGCTTGGTATGCAGCAGAGAAACTGAGGCTTCAGAGGTGACCTGTGCTGTGGGGCCCAAACTCTGGGCCCGAGCGCTGCTCTTCAGCTCAAGGCAAGCGCTCTACCACTTGAGCCACAGCGCCACTTCCAGTTTTCTGGTGGTTCATTGGAGATAGGAGTCTCACGGACTTTCCTGCCCGGGCCGGCTTTGAACCGCGATCCTCAGCTCTCAGCCTCCTGAGTGGCTGCGATGACAGGCGGGAGCCACGGGCGCCGGCTCAGCCTGGGAAGGGGCTCCTGCGCTTCCTCTGCGGGGCTTTGACCAAAACAAGGCCTTGGGTAAGGCGGAGGCCGGGCTCCCAGCGCCCCAGGCCCGGCCCGGCGCCCGCCACCCGCAGACGCCAGCCGGAAAATCAGATAATGAAGGAAGCCAAGCACCGTGACATGAAACCCAGAGTGGGAAGCCATCGGAGCTGGGGCGCCCCGCCTGCAGGCCAGGGAAACTGAGGCCTGGAGCCAGGTGGGAGATGCGTCGGGCTGGGTGGGCGCTCCGGGGGCTCCTGCTGCTACCCTGGCTTTCTCCCCTCAAGGCTGGTGCTCTATCCCGTGAGCCACAGCTCCACTTGTTTTTTTGTCTGGTTCGTTGGAGATAAGAGTTTTGTGACTTTCCTGTCTGGGCTGGCTTTGAACTGTGATCCTCAGATCTCAGCTTCCCAGTAGCCCGGTTGTGCTAGGAGGCACGCCACGGGCCAGATAAGCCATTCAGGAGGAGTCTGGGAGGCCTCCTGGAAGGCAGGGGTGTGCAAAGGTCCTGGGGCACAAAAGGGAGGCTGGGCCCCTGCAGAGATGGGAGGGGCAGAGCCCCTGGGCCCGGTGGGTGGTGCTCTTTGGGGGTGAAGGGGCCCGGGCAGCCTGCAGCACCTCTCTTTAGGGGCTCAGCACTGCCCTGGGCAGAGGGGGAGACACCTAAGCCAGAGAGGGGAGATCAAAAGGGGAAATTTGCAAGTTAGATTTGCGAATGCCAGGAGAGCCCCAAAGCTGTCAGCCTTGGTGTTACAGCTTGACTCCACACAGGCCGGAGCCCCTGCTGGACCCTAGGACAGAGTCCCCCCTCCCCTGCCTTCCATCTGGCTCCCCTGCCTGACTCGTCTCTTCTAGAAGGTTCTGTGGGCAGGGTTGGGCTGTTCTTCCTGAGAGAGAGCTGGTTATGGAGTTCGAAGCCATCCTTGTCCATGCCTGGGGGGGGGAGGGAGGGAGAGGGGGACACAGGCACTGCAGGGAGGGGCCCCGCCGACTGCGGCTCCCCACGGTGGAGTCAGCCCCCCCAAGCTCCAGGCAGAACTTCGGAAGGGCCTTGCCTGCCTCCCAGGGTCACCCCCGTTCAGGCCTGGCTGGAGTGTGCACACTGCGTGTGTGCGCGCGTGCGTGTGTGCCCGTGCGCGTGCGTGTGCGTGTGTGTGTGTGCGCGTGCGTGTGCGCGCGTGTGCGTGTGTGCCCGTGCGCGTGCGTGTGCGCGTGCACCCTGGGCGTTCATGTCGGTGAGGGCTGCAAAGCCTGCAGAGCATCGGCTCAGATCCTGGCTCAGCCACTTCCCAGCTCCACTTCTGACTTTTTGGGGTTCATTGGAGAGAAGAGTCCCGGACTTTTCCTGCCTGGGCTGACTTCACACTGCGACCCTCAGATCTCAGCGCCTGAGTGGCTATGATGACACGTGTGAGCTACTGGCGCCCGGCTTCAGGAGACTTTTGAGGGGTGGCGCGGCACCGCCAGGCCAGGTGACAGCCTGGGCCCCCCAGCCGCACCCCTGCTCCAGGGAAAGACCACAGCCCCACCCAGCGCCCACCGAGGCCGGTCCCCACCGCCGCCCTGACGCACGGGGAGGCGGGGTAAGGGGGGGTCTTGGGGGTCAAAGTCGGGCTCCATCTGGCTTGGAGAGAGCTGGTGTTTTGAAAAAGCAGCCGCCCCACCTCAGAGGCCGCAAGGAGCTGAGGGAGCCTCCGGCCCGCAGCGGGGCGCACAGCCCCGGGCCCCAACCCCGAGGTGAGCCCAAGCCCCGAGAAGCGGGGTTCCCAGGCCGGTGATGCCGAACCCGTCCGGCCCGGGCCGGGCCCTGTGGCTGGCGGAAATCCCGGCGGGCTTCCCGGCTGCGGCGCGGCGCGGGCGCACCCCGGCATCCCCGCATCGCCCCCGCGCCGGGCTCCGGGCGGCCGCGGTGACCGAGCCCCACAGGTGGGCGCTGGGCAGCCCGGCGGGTGGTGGGGCGCTGCGGGCCGTGTTTTGGGGACCCCCATCGCCCCAGGCCCCCCCAGCGCGCCTCCGCCCGGGCCACGGCCCCTGGGCAGCGGGGGGGCAGGCAGGCCGGGCGGGGCCGGGCTCAGCCGGGCCCCGGGTCCCCCGCGCCCGCCGGCCAAGGTTCCGCACCGGCCCGGGACGCCGAGTTTCGGCGGCGCAAAGCCGGGCCAACACTGCCCCCGCGTGGCGGCGCCGGGCGCTGCAGCCGCGGCCCGCGGGGAAACTGAGGCGCGGGCGCCGGGGTGGGGCCCAGAGCTGCGCCCAGGGGCGACGGGCACCGCCCGCCCCGGTCCCGGGCTCCATGCGCCCCACCCCCGCCGGGATGCGGGGCCCAGGGCCACTCACACCTGCAAGCCCAGCTACTCGGGAGGCTGAGCGCTGAGGACCGCGGTTCAAAGCCAGCCCGAGCAGGAAAGGCCGTGAGACTCTTATTTCCAATAAACCAGCAGAAAACCGGAAGTGGTGCGTGGCTCAAGCGGTAGAGCGCTGGCCTTGAGCACTAAGAGGCTCAGGGACAGCGCCCAGGCCCTGAGTTCAAGGCCCAGGACACACACACACACACACACACACACACACACACACACACACACACACACACGAGAGAGGCCGGGCCCACAACTGTCTAGCGTTGAGCCCAGGTGTGGCAGACCCTAACCCAGCACTGGTGTGGTGTGGTGGTGGCTGGGTCTGGGTGGTGCAGCCCACAGATGACCTGGGGCAGTGTGGATTTGAACTCATGACCCGGGGCAGTGTGGATTTGAACTCATGACCCGGGGCAGTGTGGATTTGAACTCATGACCCGGGGCAGTGTGGATTTGAACTCATGACCTGGGGCAGTGTGGATTTGAACTCATGACTGGGGCAGTGTGGATTTGAACTCATGACGGGGCAGTGTGGATTTGAACTCATGACCCGGGGCAGTGTGGATTTGGACGCAGCACCTCAGCCCTCGCCCACCAGATCTCCATCCCAGACACAGCAGCTCGGAGCCTGGTCCCGGCCAACCCAAGCTCAAGGCTGTGTGGGGTGGGGTGTGTGTGTGGGGGTTTCCCACCATCCAGGAAGAAGGTGCCCTGGGCCCCCAAACCCCAGCCTCATCAGCGCCCCCAAGAACCTCTGGAGACCCCAAGTCAGGTTTGGTGAGACCCACGCGGGTGGTGTATTTATTGGTGGGGTGCAGCGGGGCCGGGGGCCGGCGGGGCTGGGGGGCAGTCCTCACCCAGCCCGCACTGCCCGCGCCTCCCTACAGCCGGCTGCGCCTCAGGAGAGACTGAAGCACCAAGCTGGGCAGGAAGGGCTCCTGGGGGGCGAGAAGGGGGACCGGATGGGCTGTGAGGCCCCCAGGCCCCCTGCGCCCCAAGAGGATCCATCCCGGGGGGGCTGGCACTGGCCAGCCCCATTCTCCACCAGGAAGGTGGGCTGGGTTTGAACCTGGGCCCGGCTCCCCAGCGCCCGGGGCCGTTCCAGGGGGGCTGGTGCTCACCTGCTTGTGGGTGCAGGAGCAGGGTGCTGGGGACCTCCGACCCAGGGTGCCGTAGGCGTCCAGGAAGGTTTTGTAGTCCCCCCGCGGTCTGGACGTGCTGGCTCTGGCAACGAAGGGCAGGCAGGCGTGCAGGGAGGCGTTAGAGCGGTGGCGCTGCGGCTCCTGGGCGGGTCTAGGGGAGAGGGAGCCGGTGAACCCCCCCCCCCCCCCGCCCCCCGGGGCTGGAGGGCGCCCCCAGCCCCTCCCTCAGCCTCACACGCCAGTGCGCTCCCAGGACGAGCTGCTGCTGCCCATGGCTTCTTTGAGTCTGGGGTACACAGCCTTGGGCAGACTCTCCAGCCACTTCCCCACGTTCCGCAACACCCGCTCCGGCACAGAACCTTCTGGAAGCGTGCTTGGCTCTTCCTCGAAGATGTTCCTGTGGACTGCAGGGAGAGAAGGCCCGACTGAGTTCCTAGCTGGGGGGGAGGGGGGGTCAGCACCCTCCCTGCCAGCCCTCCCCCCTTCCCCTCCCCCTCCTCTCCCTCCTCTTCTCCCCCCCAAGGCCAGGCAGAGCCTGTCTCCATGGCAACGCCAGGCTCCCCAGTGCCTTCTGGGAAAGCTTGGGCTTAAAAACATGTCTGCCATCCTTACCAAAGCGGTGGCCTCACCCCAATATCTGCACTTGCATCCAGCCCAGCGCGGGGCCCTGGCCCGAAGGGGGAGCAGGGCACCCACTATGGAGCCCAGAGGTGACACTCAAGAAGCCCAGGGCCCGGGAGGAGGGACGCCAGGCTGGGCCGCTCCCCCGGGCCCAGGGCCGCTCAAGAGCCGGGTCCCCGCCTCACGTCCCCCTACTCCTGCAGCAGGTCCTTCTTACCGCCCCAGAAACGGGCCGGAAACCCCAGCTCAGGCCCCTCCAGGGCCCCGGCATCCTGTGCCGGCAGTGTGGCTGCGCTGCCCAATGCAGAGCCGCAGGCCGGGCCCGGGAGCCCTGGGCCCTGTGTGTGTGTGTCTGTGTGTGTGTCATCTGTCTGTCTGTCTGTCAGTGTGTCAGTGTGTCAAGGCCCAGCCAGGCCAGGCCTCCACTGCCTTCTCCACCACCCTGGCTGTCAGCTGTCAGAGGCCTAAAGATCGCCCTGGCCCCCGAGGGCTGAGTGCAAGTTCTGCCTGGGCCCTGGAGGCGCAGGGCGCCATCTCTTCTTCCCGACCATACCGGGCATCTCCCCGCAGACGTGGGAGGAACATGCTTCTGGAAGTTTCCGTGGGCAACGTATTGCCCTGGGCGGAGCGGAGATTGTTTCTCCTTGGGCCTCACTACTGTGTGTGTGCGCGCGTGTGTGTGCGCGCGTGTGTGTGCGCGTGTGCGCAATCTCAGCCTTGAACTCACCATCAGTCACCTGTATCCTCTGGGCAGGGGGTCCGGGCCGTTCCGGGCCTGGAGCCCTGGCTTCTGCCCGTGCCGAGATGGCCGTCAGGGTCCCAGTTCCTTACCGGCACAGTTGCGCTCCCAGTATCTGCGCTCTGAGTCCCGCAGGGTCTCATCCTCAAACCGCACCCGGAACGGGCAGTAGCGTCGGTGGCGGGGGGCAGTGCCCTCCCCGGGGCTGGGGATCTGGACAGTGTTGATCCTGGGTACCTGTGAGCCTTGCAGCCTGCCGAGAGAGTGGGAGAGCGCAGCCTGAGCCCCAGAACCGCAACAACACGTGCAGACCAGGGCTGGAGGTGAGGACGTGGACAGGTGGCCTGGTCTGGCCTGCAGGCCAGGGCCTGGGACAGCGGGAGTCACGGCGGCCCAGCTGAGTGCTTCCCGCTGCTGGTGGGCCGGGGCACCACACCCACAAGGCCCATTTTTTTTTTTTTGTCGGTCGTGGGGCTTGAACTCTGGGCCTGGGCGCTGTCCCTCAGCTCTTCAGCTCAAGGCGAGCGCTCTACCACTTGAGCCACAGTGCCACTTCCGGTTTTCTGGTGGTTTATTGGAGATAGGAGTCTCACGGTCTCTCCTGCCCGGGCTGGCTTTGAACCATGATCCTCAGATCTCAGCCTCCTGAGTAGCTAGGATTACAGGCTTGAGCCACCAGAGCCCGGCCAACACAAGGCCCATTTTATAGATGAGGAAACTGAGGTGTGGAGGCTTTCCCAGCGGGGAAGGGCTGGGTCCCAGACAGCCAACACTCAGAACCAACAAGCAAGCAGCAAAGAGCCCGTGCGCCCAGGCCCACGCAGCTTTCCGAGCTTTCTCTTGTGAGCCTGTTTCCTTGGCCAGTGATGGAGACCAGCTCCACCCCTGAACAGGGCCGGGAAGGGATGGAACATGCCATAGGTATAGATATGTCCTACTAAAACAGTACTCGTGGTCACGCCTGTAATCCTAGCTACTCAGGAGGCTGAGCTCTGGAGATTGTGGTTCAAAGCCAGCCTGGACAGAAACGTCCAGGAGAATCTTATTTCCAGTGAACCAGCAGGAAAAAAAAATCAGAACCGGGGGTGTGGCTCAAGTGATAGAGGGCCAACCTTGAGTAGAAAGAGCCAATCGAGAAGCCTGAGGCCCTGAGTTCTGCCCCAGTACACACACACACACACACACACACACACACACACACACACACACACACACACACAGTGTAGCTGTTCTGCTTATGTTAATGATACAATTGTTTCACTTATTGTTAAATTTCAGTCTCAAGGGTCCCCCGTGGCTCTGTCACTCCAAAATGGCACCTCAGATGACATCAGCTACACACGTTTCCTCTGTCGCTGCCCATTTGCCCCGCCACACCTTTGTGCAGCTGCACAGGGGACACAGCCCCACTACAGGGAGAGGGCCAAGGCCTGCTGCTGAGCCAGGCAAAGGCATTCATTCCTCAGCTCTGCTGCCAGTTGGAGACTGACATCTCCACCCAGGGAGGAGGGCTGGAGCCCAGGCTAGGGCACCCCAGGGTCCCCCAGGGCCGATCAGGGAATCTCACATACATGTAGGGCAAGCTTGAGCTCTACTCTGGGCCATCATGGTGTCTACCTGGAACACTGTGCTGGGAAGGTTCTGTGCTATGATCTGTTAATAATGTCTGCCATGGTACAAGAGCAGGAAGGATTGTAAGCGATTTGTAATGTCTGCCATGATACAGGAGCAGAAAGAATGGTATGTGACTAGTAATGTCTGCCATGGCATGGGAGCAGGAAGAATGGTATGTGATTTATTTATGCTGTTGTCTAACCTCATGGGCAGAGATCCTCACTCTTCACCTCTCCTTCAGTCTGGACGAAATGGTTCCTGGCTTATTTCTCCCCTCTGTTAAGAAGTTTGGTATCTAGTCCCAAAGAAACCCTACTGCAGGCAGGTGCTCTACTGATGAGCTGCTCTTCCAGCCCTGAATTCTGCTGTTTTGACCCACCCCTACCCTTGGGACTGAGGTTGAACAAAGAAACTTGAGCTTGCTAGACTGGCACGCTACCACTTGAGCCATCCATGTCTCTGTTTTCTGTTGGTTAGGGCCGTGCTTTCTGCCAGGTCATGCACCCAAACTCTGATCTGTTTACTTTAGGCTCATTTGCTGGGATTACAGACTAAATCACTGGTACCCTGCTTGCTAATTGTTATTATTATTATTTTGGGTCCGGTAGTTGGGCCTGAACCCTGGGCCTGGGCGCTGTCCCTCAGCTCTTCAGCTCAAGGCTAGTGCTCTACCACTTGAGCCACAGCACCACTCCCGGCTTTTTCTTTTTGCTTATGTGGTGCTGAGGAATCGAACCCAGGGCCTCATAATGCAAGGCAAGCACTCTACCACTGAGCCGCCTTCCCAGCCCCTTGCTAATTATTTCTGAGGTAGGGTTTCCTTCCTGCCCAGGCGTGCACTGGACTGAATCCACCTGTGAGGGCTTCCTGCCAACTGGGATGTCGGGACCACTGGTGTCCAGCTTTCCTCTGCTGAGGCAGGGTTTTAAGGCCTTTTCTGCCTGAGCTGGCTTGGAGCCACAACTGTCCAATCTCAGCTTCCCACGTGGCTGAGGGTGACAGGAACACCTCACCCCACCCAAGGATCAAGATCCTGAACTTTTTTCTACCCAGGCTGGATTCAAACTGCGATCCTCCTATCTTAGCCTCCCCAGTAACTAGGATTCCAGCCTGAGCCGCAGGTGCCCAGCTTGCCTCCATCCTTTGCTTTATTTTACTTTTAGTAAAATGTAATGAAAGTTGGAAAAAGAAGGGTATGAAGGAGAGTAGGAAGGGGAAAAAAAAAACCCGGAGGACTGGTGTGGGCAGGTTGATGGTGGACAGACTGGCGGAAGAATAACACAATCTGAATAGAAGAACTGAAGGGCAGGTGAGCGGGCACGTGGATTTCTGGATGGTTCTTTTACAAGACCCAGAGTGTCCTGGGTTTGCAGGTGGATGGCGTTATAGTTTGGCGGATGCCAGGATGCGTGGACGGATGGGAGCGTGGAAGGTTGCGCAGGCCTGAGCGCGCAGGGATGCGGGAGTGCGGGGTTCGGGCGGGACTGGCTGGCGGGCTAGCTCAGGGTGGGGGCCGGAAGCCAGGGGAGGGACCCCCGCCCCCCCACTCACAGGTTGCCCTTTTTCAGGCGGTCGCCCGTCATTCGGCCCAGCGCGGGCTGCGGGTGCGGGTGGCCGGGCGGCAGGTGGTGGAAATGGGTCGGGTGGTGCCTGCAAGACAGAGGCGGCGGCTTGGGCGGCGCCCGAGGGGGCCGGGCCCCCGCCCGCCGGGGCGCCGCACTCACCACAGGTCGGGCAGGAAGGGGCAGGTGGGGCACTGGGGGCTCCGGCTGCCCGCGGGGGCTCCGCCCTGGCCGCATGTCTGTGCTGAGAGCCGGGGAGGAGGGGGGGGCGCGTCAGGGCGGGCGGGGCGCGGCCGGCGCCGGGGCCCGGGGGCGCCGGGCGGGGCGGGGCGGGCGGGCCCGCGGGGAGCCGGGGGCCCGGGGCGCCGGGCGCGCGGCGGGGGCCCGGCCGCGTCCCCCCGCCCCGCCCCGCCGCCGCCGCCGGCCTCGCGCTGCGGCCCCGCGCCGTCGGCGCACTTGGCCTGCAGCTCCCGCAGGAAGTCCTGGAACTTGCTGGGCAGAAGCTCGCCCAGAAGCCCGCCCAGGGAGTCGGGGGGCTGCCAGGGCTCCCCGGACCACGACCGCGACCCCCGGGGGCCGCCGGCCCAGCGCAGCGGCGGCAGCCGGGACCGGGCCGCGGGGCGCCCGCCGCCCGCCCGGGGCTCGGGGTCGCGGTCCCGCCACCACGCGCCGCCCGCACCTGGCGGCCCCCGCGGCTCGGGCGCGACCAGCTCGGGCAGCAGCGGGGTTCTCCACGGGCCCGCGCGGGGGCCCCGCTCCTGGGCCGGCGGGCCGGGCGCGCGCCGGGCCATGCTCAGCGGCGGGCGCGGGGCAGCGGCGGCCGGCGCGGGCGCGCGGCGGCGGCGCGGGGCGGCGCGCGGGCCATGGCGCCGGACGCGCGGTGTGCGGGCTCGGGGCCCCCGGCGCGGCCGCGGCGCGCCCGGCCCCGGCCCGGCCTCTGTGTCCTCACCGTGGGGACCGTGACGGGGCTGTGACGTCCGCCGGGCGCCCGGGGCAGCCGCGCCCCGCCGCCGGCCCAGCGGACGGCGATCCGCCCCACCGGACCCGAATACAGCACGGGGACCGTGGGCCGGAGCGAGAGCGCCCGCCTCGCGTGCACGAGGCCCCGGGTTCGAGTCCTCAGCACCACATACACAGAAAAGGCCGTGGCGGCGCCGTGGCTCAGGCGGTAGGGCGCCCGCCTGGAGCACAGGGAGGCTCCGGGACGGCGCCCAGGCCCGGGGGTCGGGCCCCAGGGCTGCAAAACAAAACAGAATTCCCGGTTATCCTGGAGCCTGATCGCCGCGTGACTCCCGGGTCGGCGCTGCAGCCGGGGGCGAACCCGGGACCCACGGCCGCTCGGAGCCACAGAGGGGGCGCGCGCCCCCCGGTGGGCAGGCCGAGCAGCGCGGGGCGGACGCGCGCCCCCCGGTGGGCAGGCCGAGCAGCGCGGGGCGGACGCGCGCCCTCTGGTGGACAAGCGGAGCAGCAGCGTGCAGTGAACTGCACCTGGTGGACAGGCCGAGCAGCGATGAGTTAACGCGCGCCCCCTGGTGGACAGGTGGAGCAGCGCAAGGCAGACGCGCGCCCTCTGGTGGACAAGCGGAGCAGCGTGCAGTGAACTGCACCTGGTGGACAGGCCGAGCAGCGATGAGTGCACGCGTGCCCCCTGGTGGACAGGTGGAGCATTGAAGGGCAAACGCGCGCCCCCTGGTGGACATGCGGAGCAGTGCAGAACGGACACGCGCCCCCTCGTGGGCAGAGTGAGCAATGCGGGACATGTCGAGCAGCGCAGAACCGATACGTGCTCCCTGGCAGATAGGTCCAACCCCACAGGTCACGGAGTGAATGTTCCCTCCCTGGTGCACAGGCCGAGCAGCGCTGAGCGAACTCCCGCCCCCTGGTGGGCATGCGGAACAGTGCAGAGTGGACGCGCGCCCCCTGGTGGACAGGCCGAGCAGCGCGGAGTGAACTGCACCTGGTGGACAGGCAGAGCAGCGGTGAGTTAACGCGCGCCCCCTGGTGGACAGGCCGAGCAGCACTGGACAGACGCGTCCCCCCTGGAGCAAAAGTTCTCCCCTTGGTGGAGGGGCCCAGCAGTGTCCTGCAGTCACCCTGAGTCAAGCTGTAACTAGGAAGCCTGCGCCCCCAGCCACGTGACTGCCCGACCCCTCCAGCCTCCACTGTACAGATGCAGAGGCAATGGGTCTGGCAGAAGCCCAGGACCGCCTGCACCTCCATGGAATCTGCCAGCCCAGATAGAGCGCTTTGAACCAACATCCCCTTGGGAGGCTGAGCTCCAGGGCCCGCGCCCCCGCACGCCCTCATGCCCAGGCCCAGGTCAGCTCTGACCCAGCGCTTGGGAAGTGGTACACTCACTGTGTCTGGATTTTGGGGAGAGGCCGCTAAAGATTCCGTGAGTTTTGGACCTCTGAGCAGGTGGGCCAGCCCTTCGGAGAGCCTCATCTTCCTGTCTGTCCCCTCCCTGCTGCCAAGGGGCCTCTTCTGATCCATTGTGATCTGCACATCACCCACAGTCACTGCTAGGCAGAGGTCAGGAGATGCCCTGGGATGCCTGGTTAGGGCAGCTATGCCCAGGCCAGGGAAGGGCTCAGCTTCCTCCACTCGGGAAGACAGAGGGGGAATGGTGTGTGGGTGGTGTTTTGTGGGCAGCTCTAGAGGAGCTGAAGGCGTTGTCACTAGGTGTCTAGGGTAAGCTGTTACCATGGCTCACACCTATAATCGTATCCTAGCTACTCAGGAGGCTGAGATCTGAGGATCATGGTTCAAAAGCATCCTGGGAAGAGAAATCCCTGAGATCCTTAACTCTTTTTTTTTTTTGTCAGTCATGGGGGCTTGAACTCTGGGCCTGGGCGCTGTCCCTCAGCTCTTCAGCTCAAGGCGAGCGCTCTACCACTTGAGCTACAGCACCACTTCCGGTTTTCTGGTGGTTTATTGGAGATAGGAGTCTCACGGTCTCTCCTGCCCGGGCTGGCTTTGAACCGCGATCCTCAGATCTCAGCCTCCTGAGTAGCTAGGATTACAGGCGTGAGCCACCAGCGCCCAGCCTAGACCCTTAACTCTTAACCATCAAAAAATCTGAAAGTTATATCTCTGGGTCAAGTGGTAGAGCACCCGCCTCGAGCACACTCAGGGACTGTGACCAGGCCCTGAATTCAAGCTCCAGAACACACACACACACACACACACACACACACACACACACACACACACACAAAGAGACTTTTCCAAATTACAGAGTTTTAGCCTGGCAGAGGCATACAAAAGATAATTTGTTTTCTAGAAAGTTCCTCAGCAGGAATGAAAGAACATAATTCCTTTGGCAATTAGAATAATGAGTGAGGAAGCTAGGAAGTTTTGAATTTCACGTATGAGACAGTGTGTGCATGTGTAATTTCTGGTGGGGATTTAAAACATGGGTGAAGGCTACCAGAGCAACCAGATGACATCTGAAGAGCCCTCTAACCCTTGTCTTCCCTCCCTTCCTTCCTACCCCCAAGACTGAGTAGCTAACACTTTTGCTCATTGGCTAGCACTCTATTAATTAAGCCAGGACTCCACCAGGATGTGACCTCGGAGGAGGGAGCAGGTGACTGCTTCCAGGTGTGCCAGTTACCTAGGTAATGCAGGTACTGGGTGGAGACTAATGCAGGAGGTGGGGAGGGCAGGGCCTGGCCCAGGGCAGCAGGCCTTACATTAACCCCCAGCCCTTGCATTCCACACACATTCACTGGGCAAGTCCTAAGGGCTAGGCTTGAGAATTCAAAGGTCTACGTGAGCAGCTTGGAGGTCCACTAGCCATGCCTGGAAAGGCCTTGGAGCTTGGCAGTGGAAGTAGGGTAGAGGGTAGAGATGGGTTTGGATCTGAGGGGGATTCCTAAAAAGGATTCTAGACACTCTTGGGATCTAGAAAGATGTAAAATGAAGCCTGTAAAAGGAGTCAGTCCAGACAATAATGTGATCTAGAAATAGTCCAGAAAGTATGGCAACTTATGTATACATGAACTGAAATGCTGAAGGAGCTTTTTACCCCCGTCATCTAAATCCTCGTAGATGAAAGGAAACATTCACTGGGTGTCATAGTGCATGCCTATAATTCCAGCCCTCAGAGGCTAAAACCTGGGTAACTTATTGAAACCCTGACCAAAACAAAACAAAAACCAAGCAAAGAAAACAAAAACAACAACAACAAAAAACCCCAGACAAACCAACCACTGCCTGTGTGCACTGCCCAGAGGAAGGCATTTGTACATTCAACACTAACATGTTAGTCTAGGGACTGTCAGCTCACTTAAGATGAATGCTGTCATAATTGCTTGCATTCCCTAAAAAGCTGTTGAAAGTGCTGGGCTAAAGGTTGGACTTACAACACTCTCCACACAGTCCCAGAGCATTGCGGAGCAGGAGAGGAGGCTGAAGCTCAGAGGGTCTACCTACCTGCAAGCTCTCTTCTGTCCACATTATCCCTGCTTCAAGGCCATCCCAGAGCTGGGCACCAGTGGCTCACGCCTGTAATCCTAGCTACTCAAGAGGCTGAGATCTGAGGATCAGGGTTCAAAGCCAGCCAAGGCAGAAAAGCCCATGAAACTCTTATCTCCAGTTAACTACAAAAAGCTGGAAATGGAGGTGTGGCTCAAGTGGTAGAGCAAAATCCTTGAGTGAGAAAAGCTAAGGGACGGCACTCGGACTGTGAGCTGCAGCCCCAGAACTGGCACACGCAGTGAACACCAGCCCAGCGAAGTGTAAGTCTTTAAGAATGGGAACTTGTTTTGCGTACGTGGCCTGGCATCGAAGCAGAGCTACTTGCCTCCCCTCCCCTTCTCCCCGCTTCCTGTCTCGCTTCTTTCTTTGCAGGAATACTAAGTTGCTAACGGAAACGGGTGATTTCGAGCACCGATGGCCAGTTTCCCTCTTCTTTTTTACCCCGTGGGAAACGCATGCAAGGCTGACTTTCAGGAGCCCAGCAGCTCGGCTGGGCGTGGGGCTCACACCTGCAGTCCCAGGCCTGGAAAGCTGGGCAGCCCGGGCTGTACGTCTCCGATAGTACAAGTTGGAGGGGAAAGGCCGGCCGGGCGCGGCGGCTCGCGCCGGTCCGGAGGCTGAGACGGGAGGATCGCGGGTCAAAGCCAGCCATGCGCCAGGGAAAAAGCCCCAAGGGGAGCTGTGGCTCAAGGGAGCGCCAGGCTTCGGGGAAAAAGGCCCGGGGACAGCGCCCGGACCCTGAGTTCGAGCCCAGGGCGGGCCCGCGGGCGCCCGCAACGCGCCTGCGCGCGCCCCGGCTCGGCGCTCCGCCCGGAACCGGAGACGAAGCGGGTTGGCTGCGGCCCGCGGGAAGGGGCGGGGCTAGCCGTCGGGGCGGGTCTTGTGCAGGCCACGCCCCTCGTCGCGTCCGGAAGTGATGTGCGCGGACAAAGACAGCGCGGTGCGAGGCGTCGGGAGTTCCTGCCGTGCCGCGGTGACTCCTGGGTCCTCGCCGCCTCCTCCCGGTCCTGGTACTTCTCCCCGGCTCCCGGGCCCTGCGCGGGTGAGTAGCGGGAGGCGGCCCGAGCGGCGGCCGCCGGCAGCGGCGAGGTCCCGTCCCCAACTGCCCGGTGTCGGGACCCCGCGGGCCGGGAGCCGGGGGCCGGGAGCCGGGGCCGGGGGCCGGGGGCCGGGGCCGGGGGCCGTGCCGGGGCCGGGAGGGCCATGCGGGCCGGGGCCGGGGGCCGGGAGGGCCATGCGGGCCGGGGCCGGGGCCGGGGGGGGCCATGCGGGCCGGGGCCGGGGGCCGGGAGGGCCATGCGGGCCGGGA